CAGAATACGCAATCAGAAGGCCATTAATGCGGCAGAGAGAGGATGTGATATTTCAACAATAATGCCAATTGTTGATGAGCCGAAGATAGTATTGCAGTTGGTATGCATTTAATGCGTTGCAATCAGATGAGAGATGTTGGCAATCAGATATGAGATGTCGGCAACAAGCGAGATGTTGCGATACAGATGCAGTAATAAAGGTAAATAAGTTTACCTGTAAGGTCGGAATTATGATATGACCAAAAGAGAATGGTCAAATTATTCCATATCAGATCGGTAATTTCAACGAAATTCTCGACTATAGTTAAGTCGGAGAAGTTGAAATTTGAAAATATCCATAGTGATATTGAGTATAAGGTTTCTCGAAAGAGAAACAAGTTGAGTATAATAAATTATGAGTATATAATGGAGATGTGACTTGTTAAAGTTTACAAGTGACATCTATATTAAGGTACAATGTATATAGATGTTCCGCACCTGAAGGGCCCCAGGTTGTGGGTAAATCATATACAATGTATCGCATAAGTATTCAGATAAGTATTTAATATCAATTATTCTCTAGAGTTATTCAGTGTGCATAAAGTTTATATGAAGTTAAGTGTGTGATCCAAAGTATGTGCTTTTGCACAAAGATTTTAAAGATTTAATTACGAGGATCAGCTGAGATGAGGTTTGGACCATGAGGTTCATTGGCTGAGTAAGTAAGATATATCCTCGTAAGTAGAAATGGGATCACCACATATAAAGTTAATTGCCACTGAAAAGTGAAAAGTTGATATTATCACTCGTTTTTCAGATTACGAGTTATGATATATATATATACATAGTGAGTATATATCTAAGTTTCAGTATTTCCGAGGACGGAAATAGTTTTAAGGGGGGTAGATTGTAATATCCCATTCAGTAATTAATAAAAGTAATTATTTTTAGTTCTAAGTTTGAACTAATTACTTTTATTAATAATGCTCGTTCCTAGTTTCGAGCCCAGTTATTAAGTTATAAATGTTCAAAGAAGTGAGAAAATTTATTTAGACATTTTAGTCTATTTAAATCATTAGAGAGAAATATGAAATTTTTAGAATTTGCGTTTTTCGATTGTAGTCGGAATTTATGTCCGATTTCAGTTCCGAGAAATACATTAAATTATTTTCTCTCTATATTTTTAGTAGAATACAAGATAAGAAAAATTTTTCAGCATAACAATGAAAAATACCAAAAGAAAAGAAGGAAATTCGAAAACTGTAAGAATTTTCGATTTTACGGTAACTGTTCGTTTTAAGTCAGAATTTGGTTCCGTAAATTGGAGAATTTTCACTAAATCTCGAATTTACTCATTAAGATCAGATTAGGATCATAAGAGGGGCCTTTCTAAGCATTGACTATGAGTTGGAGAAGTTTACATGTTAAGAATAATATTTATTATCTATATTTATTTTTATAAATTTGTATTGTTTATTATGATCCAAAATTCACTCTATTTGGATGTTTGTCCAAATTATCCAAAGGAAATTTCTAAGTATATAATATGTTTGGAGAGTTGAATAAGTTGATCATAAAATATTTTATGAGTATTTAAAGATATAAGTTACATTTGTTTATGAGTATTTAAAGATATAAGTTACATTTGTTTATTATGAACAAAAATTCACTCTATTTGGATATTTCTCACAATTGTGCCTATAAATAGAGGCCTAAAATTCAGAGTTTTTCACACCAAAATAAAGTTCCAAAGTTAAATAAGAGTGAAAGAGAGAATGAGTGGGATAAACTTTGGAGAAGTAAAGAAGAAGGAAGTTTTTACTCTAGCAAGAAGGAGGTAATTTACTTATCCTAAAGTTACATGCTTAAGTTCATGTTTTGAAAATGAGTTTACATGTTTATGAGTATGTATATCATGATTTAGAAGTTGAAGTTTATAATTGATACAAAGAGTTAAAGATGTTAAAGATCAATTATATGATATATGTACTTGAGGTGATAAGATGATGAATTGCATGAGATTTTCATAAAGATATGAATATGCTGGAAAAGTATGATTTAAATGAATGATTCTTATGTAAAAGAGGAGTTCATGAGAACAAGAATTAAGTTATTTGGCAAAGTATATCTTAAGATATGAATTTTTAAAGTTTATCATGCAAGCTGAATTTTATGTACTTGTTTCCAGCAGCAACTTTAAACTTGAATAAGTCGAGATATATACATGATAAAATTATGAAATTTTGATGACATGTCTAATTATAAGTTGAGATTATGACTGTTAAGTTTCATAATTTAAAGATGAGAAATGAATAAGTTATGAATATAAGAAAGCATATATGTAAAGATAAGTATATATGCAAGAATATTCATGAAATGGTTAAGTTATTAAAATGAGATGATCATGAATAATTCTCATATAAGTAATTTTATGATGTTTTGGGTATAATATGTTGAGTATACAATTTTATAAAAATTGTATTAAGTATGACATATTAACATCATGATTAAATATTATGTGTAAAAGATGATTATGGCTTGAGATTATTTTCACTTTCAATTTAATTAAGTGAAAATTTAATATAAGCCAATATCTATAAATTGGGAGATGGATTAAGTACTTGATTAAGTTAAAGATCAAGATGAATTTATATATCTTGATGATGATGTTAAAAGTTAAGTATTTAATCAAGTATAATGTGAAAGATAGTGATTTTCATATTTCTGTTATAGCATGTTATGAAACATATTGATATTTAAGAAGATATGTTTTACAAGGTTAAGTAATTGACCTTAAGTATAAGTAAAAAGTGAAGTTAAGTATAAACTTGAGAATAAGCACGTTTAAGAATGGGATAAGTTAATAATCCTAAGAACTTATTGAGTATACGAGCATAGTACTTAGTATATTTGTCTATATTTGATTTAACTTGCAGATACAGTACCAGTACAGCACTTATCGTGTTACAAACGATTTCAAAGATGAAAAGGTGGGGACCCTGAATGGGTATCACATTGAGTACGATATTGATGTCATATGGGATGAGGAGACCATCAGTTGTCTCAGAGTATATCCTAAAGTTATAAGTTTATTACGCTTGGGAAGAAGGCCGCCAAGTTGCCTTACAAGTACTTCCTAAGTTCTGATGGAGGCCGTCTAAGTTGCCTAAGAAATATCCATCAGAGTGTGCACACGTATCCGACTAACTATCGGAAAGAGAAGAGAAAAGTTTAAGTTACCGATTAATATCGGTTTATGATTATCCATATTCGTTACTCACCCCCATGAGTTTTAGTTTCAGGTAACAGGTCGAAGAGGAGGTGTGAGTGGAGCAGTGTTGGTGTGGATCGTGGATTCAGATGAAGACAAGCTTTGATACGGACATTTAAAACAGTCTGTATAATTAACTACGTTTTAAAAGTATACTTTGATTTATTTATCCGCTACGCAATATGTTAATTGAACTTGCATTTTTAAATGAAGTTATGAGTTGAAGTTTTTACCATTTCGAGAAGTATGATTATGGTATTTTAAATGCAAGTTTAAAGGAAATCTGTTTCTTTATGTCTAAAAGAAGTATTAGACAAGAGTTTAAAGATAAACGGATTTTCAAGATGTAAGGTTGAGTAGCATTCCGAATTAGTCGCAAAAGATTTCGAAAGAGATATGAGTATTTTCGAAGTAAAAGTTGCGAAAAATTTACTCTGATAAGCGGGGTGATACAGGCTCGTCGTGTCCCGGAATGTCATAACTATAATCGGCTCGAGATGTCGGGTAAGGATGGCTCGGGCCATACCCATGGGAAGTAGAGCATCCGTCATAAGAGTAAGAAGATGAAAAACTCAGATACGAACGGGGTAGCTCTCCATACGTGAACATCTCCTCTTGATAATTGTCGGGGTATCCACGAGACGAGCTTCCGGCACAAGAATAATCATACGGATCCATCGAAACTCCTCAAGTGAACTACCTCGCACATGAACAACAAACAAAGCAAGGGCACACGAGACCAATACACGGAAAACAAAAAGTACGAGAAACAAGGCACAATATGTACAAAACACCAACACCAAATAGTAAGAGAAATCGAAAACAAACAAATAAGCAAGAGAAACACACAAAATTAAGAAAAATCCACAAAAAGCAAGAGAAACACGGAAAAGTGCCAATCAATTGTCTAAATCCAATGGCCTACTCGCCTTCCCCGGCAACGGCGCCATTTTGTTTGTAGTATTTTTGGGTAAGTGGTAACCGAGCTACCCGGACTCGGGTCATTCTCAAAGGAAGGCTATTGGGACACGGATTCAAGCAACGATTGACTCACACGAAAGAAAAATAAAAAGTCCTAAACATTCTACTCGCATGATTTGGTGGTTTGGTTAAGCTAGAGAAAGCAAGATGCGTAATTTAAAGCAAGCAACACCTCAAATTGCAAGAAAAAGAGAAAATAGAGAGAAAAATAACAAGGTACCCTAGACCCGAGATGGAAAGAAGGCACTCATAGATTTGGGAACATGTAATCAAGCAATCGTCACTCGCGATCAACCAATCGATCTCTCAATCAATTCTCGCTTATGCAAATAAGCTAACGCAATCAATAACACAATCACATAATCCCTAGCCTACGAGGATGATAGCATAATCGACTCATGAAAGCTCATATCTTTACCCTTGAATGAATTCAACAAGTAAAGATAAGACAAGACTCATGAGATCTTGGATCTTCAACTAAGTCTCCACTCGGACCTTAAACGAAGTCTCCAAGTCCCTAGTGCATCCACGAGAAGAAATAAGCCGAAAAGTTGCAATCTTGATGGAGAAATATTACAATAAAAATAGGGTCTTAGAGCCCTTAGAGAGAGAAAGAAAACTAGAGAGAAGGAGGAGAGAAAACCTAAAAGGAAAATTTTAGCAAATGAGGAATTGTTTTCAAATTACAAAGCAACAAGTCAATTTATAGCTACACCTCAAACACACACTAAAACACACACATTAAATGATAAAACTCGCGAGCTAAGGCTCACTCGCGAGTTTTGGCTTGGATTTCGCGAGCTGATTTCGCTGGCAGCAGGTGGACTCGCGGGCAAAAGCAATTTCGAGGGCTCGAAAAACAGAACTCGCGGGCAAACAGCATGAGGGAAGAACACGCGAGGGAAGAGGATTTCGAGGCTCGAACACCAAAACTCGCGGGCAAACGGCATGAGGGAACTCGTGAATTTTGGCAGGTCGCGAGTCTGAATTCGCGGCTCGCGAATTTTATCCCGATGACCCCTTGATGCTCGATTTGCTCTAACTTCTCACCCGCTTCTCCGATTGACTCGAAATTTCGACCCACGCTCTTCAAATCTTTTTCTCCTCGTCTTGAGATGCGCAAATAGATGTCACCACGAAATTAATAAATATGCTCGGAATTAGTTCGCGTGGCTCGGACATGGTTCGGACGGCTCGGGAAATGTCTCGGAAATGGCTCGTCTTTCCAAACACGAAAAATTTGGACCTAGTCAACACCAAAAAGACAAGAAAAGTACGCCGAACCACAAAAACACAATACAAAAGCAAAAATGCACGAAACACGATAAAATGGATCGGTTGACACTAAAACGGACCTAAAAGTACTAAACTCAAGCACATAAAACACATGAAAAAAAGCACAAAAACACAATAAAGAGTCGCCTTTCTCCGCCGCCGCCGTCCACCTTCAAGTCGTCGCCGTTTTCTTCCGCCCCAACCGCCGCCTTTCTCCACCACCGCCATCCACATGCAAGTCGTCACCGTTTTCTTCCGCCGCTGCCGCCCCCTACATTTTTCGATTTCGCCCCTCACCCTCATCACAACTCTCCACTTCAGGGGACCGTCACCAGTTATCAGAGGTCGAGACGACATCTCTTCCACCACCACGCGCCGCCGGATTTGCCCCTCTCTGCGACTGTCGGCCGGCAGGGGCCACACCGGCATCATCGGAGGGTCCGTCATGACCTTGGCTGAAGTCTGGTTGCCAGAAAAATGGACAAAAACGGACTGTGAATTTGGGTCTAATTTTTGGGCATGTATTTGAGAATTAGATAGTTTCGAGGGTCTCATTTGCAATTTTTTTAAATGTTGTTTATATTACAATTTAGCCTCTAGGGTCAAATCTGTAAATATAAAAAAATATAAAAAAATATTATTTTGAATATAGTTTTTATACATATATAAATTATGTATTTTTCAACAAAAAAGAAGTGTATAAATATTAATTAAAAATATTAAAATAATAAATATATTAATATACTATAAATAATAATTATTTTAATTATTTATATTAATAAAAATAACAAAATATTATTAAGATAATATAAAAAGATTAAAAGAGTATAGGACACATTGCACTTTAATGACGAAAATATTGCACTTTTGGGCATTTGATATTGCACTTTAACGTAACATATGTACCGACCGAAATGAATTGGAATATATATGTACATATATTTTTTGTAAAGTTTATATAGGTCAATTAAATTGTTCTTTTTTACTATTCAGTTATATATATTTTAATTATTTAGGTTAATTCAATGTATAATTATACTCATAATCCATACATGATTTATCTGAGAAATTATAAATTAGTTAGTGCACTTTATATACATGTTACGTTGCACTTTATACGGTAATATGTTGCACCTTATAACACAACATGTTGCACCATATAAAATATTTCATAATATTTCATATATTTAATAATTATAAATACAAAATATCTTTATTAATTAAATAAATCTTTTGGTTACTGCAAAATAATTTTTATTAAATACACATTATTAAAAGGTTCTTAAAAATTGAAATGCACGTATCAATCTCGATTAACATACACATTTTATATTTCGGTTCGATTTATTTATTTATAGTATTACATTAAGAAACTCGATTATTTTGGTTTGATGTCAATTTTTTCTTTATTTTTTATTTTTTACATTGAAAAAATAATTGCACTTTGAATGTGCATTAGCGTCAGACTGATTGCACGTTAATGTCTTTCGAATTGCACTTTAACTATAGACAGATTGCACCTTAGTGATTATTAGATTGCACTATAGAAACTACACCCGATTGAATTAATTTTTTTTGTTCGAATTTTATGTCGAGTCGATTATATGTGTTTACTTTTAAAATTTTAGTTATTTCAGATCGATGTCTGTTTTATTGTTTTATTTATTTAATTTTTGTTTAATAACCGAAATATATAAAAATACTATTTTTTATATTTTTTTATAAACGTGGACTTGGAAATCCCCTATTTGCCAATAGAAATGTTGGCCTACTTCGACCCCAGATATATCGTATAACCCTTTTAGAAAAAATATTATTTTTTTCGATCAAATAAATAAAATGTGAGATAAAAATATTAAGGTGCAATTTACATAGCAATAATGTGCAATTTTAATTATCCCAACGTGCAATGTGCATAGTATTAATGTGCAAGTGTTTATTTTTTTATAAATTATAAATTTGACCCATATATTGAATTGTAGTATCTTAAAGTTTATAAAATTGCAATTAAGTGCTTAAAACATATCAAATTTTCAAAAAACAAGCCACAAAATCTAAAAATGCAAAATTGATGTATGGGATCTGCCTTCTGCCGACGACGGCACGGCGGGGCTGTGGTGGCGACGGGCTCAGTGGCGGCGGGCGAGGGCTGGCTCGGTATGGTGGTGGTTATCGCCCGCGACCTGCAACTTCTCCGGTGAAGAGGTGACATGGCGGAGGTGAAGTGTGCCGGCGAGGCGAGGACTCTGTGGCCGGATTGATGGCGGAGGTGATGAGGATGGAGGATGGCGGTGACCTGCGATTGGAGGATGATGGCGGACGGCGGATGGCGGAGCTGAGGCGAGAATGTTGTGGCCGGATGGATGAGGCGAAGCGGCGGACTGGTGGCTGAAGGAGGAGGCCAGGTGGAGGTTTGTTGACAGCTTCGATTGCGGTGGCCGTCGACTGGAACACCTTCGCCGTGAGCTTTGCCGGACTTGACGGACGGATCGCGGCAGCGGTCTGACGACGGCGGCGACGTGGTCGGCGGACTCGTTGCAGTTGTGGTGGCGGTGGCGTGCCGGAATCGGTGTGGCAGGCCGTGACCTGTGAGCTTCCGGCGGCAGGGGGAGAGAGAAGGGAAGATGGAAGAAGGGAAGATGGAACAGGAGAGAAAAAAGAGAGGAGAGAGGAGAGAGGTGATGCAATGAATATGGGTGGGGTCCACTGGTTTTGATGATGGGTCAAAATTACATATTTGCCCTAAATGGTTATATTTGATCCAATAATCTTCAAATATTTACAATTATGCCACTGCGATTTTGACTAATTTTAATTTAGTTTGACTTCATCATGGCCATTAATGTTGTAGATCCAATACTCCAAATTCATTTGCATTTCTCGCATTAAGACTCATTCTCATATGATCCCTTACCTATATATATATATATATATATATATATATATATATATATATATATATATATATATATATATATATATATATATATATATATATATATATATATATATATATATATATATATATATATATATATATATATATATATATATATATATATATATATATATATATATATATATATATATATATATATATATATATATATATATATATATATATATATATATATATATATATATATATATATATATATATATATATATATATATATATATATATATATATATATATATATATATATATATATATATATATATATATATATATATATATATATATATATATATATATATATATATATATATATATATATATATATATATATATATATATATATATATATATATATATATATATATATATATATATTTATCAATCATGTCATGTATCCACCACTTGCAGCTTAAAATCCAATCAACTTTTTTGATGTACTAGCCACGATGGCCATGACAAACGGACCCTTTTTTGTTGAGCAGTTAACAAGTCGACCTGTTGATGTGAAAGCTTAGATGAGCTATGCCTCTAATTAATTCCTCCCGACTGTTACAAGTTTTGTTTTTCTCTTTAATACTTTTGTTCAAGTGATCCAAACTAAAATTTGGGGATAAAGTTGTAAACATTTTAAAAGGAAACAATTCGTGTAGGAGCTTGTATAGTAAATGGAATAAATTTTTTAAGAAAATCAAATCTTGAAAAGCAGAGGAACGGAGCAGAGAGGAAGTATTTCTGTTGTAGCTATGAATGGCTTGCATTTTCACACCAGTTAAGATGGAGCTTAATTAAGTAATGAAAATTCTACAAAACTAGTAGTGCCCGCCACTGAACTGAACATTGATAAATCATTCAGATTTCAACACATAAAAACCATCTATATACATATATGTACATTTTCTTTCACAATATTCACAATTACACGTCCGGAGAACAAATCAACACACGCGCGTAACGCTAATTAAATCACAATCTTAGTGTTGAATAAAAAAAAATAATATAAAGCTAAACTATATCCAGCCGTGGATCACAGCCCGGAAACAAAAGTCACCCTAGTGGACGGCAGCCACGAATTCCCTCCAATAAAGTTCGCCACCGTAAACTTTTCGGCCTCGGCCGACCCAATAACCCTAAACCCGGGCCACCCCACCCTCCCGGAAAGCCTTGCCCCTGGCCCCATATTGTCATACTCGGCAAAATACAACGTCCGGTATGTGGAGGCGTCGGCCCCTGGCCACTGGACCCAGCCTGGGCCAGAGATGGAGGCATCGATGTTCGTTCGCATGACGACGACACGCGCGTACTGCTTCCACGGGCGTCCGAGGAACGAGCCTCCGGAGCCGGAGATGCGGGAGTTGTGGACTGCGAAGCCCGTGTTCTGGCCAGGGTCTGTGCGGCCGCTGGCGAGGACGACATTGTAGGCCCCACCGAGACGGGGCTGGCGGAGAACGATGCTGCAGCTCTGGAGGACGGCGGCCGCGTTGCCGAAGATGAAGTCGATTGTGCCATAGATGTCGCAGTCGCGGTAGAACTGGCGGAGGGAGAGGGCGTAGAGGGTGTCTTGGTACCCGGCGATGCTGCAGCGGTACATTACTGAGCGGTCGGAGGAAACAGTCAGGGCCACTGCTTGCTCCCCGTGTGGCCCGGCCGTGTTCGAGAACCCGATGTCGCGGGCGATGAACCCGTCGCCAGTGATTGCTGAATCATTGATATAAGTTTCAATTCGACTATTAATTCGTGTTTATTCGTTTTTGTCAATTTTTTGAAATTTAATTAGGCAAAAATTGCCCCTAATATCATGACCATTTTCGAAATTACAATTTAATTACGATTTTTTCACTTTTGCAAATCATATCACAATCTTCAGTTTGTTGTAAATTGGTGCATCGATTTGCATATCCCGTGCAAACTATATCACAGTCTTCAGTTTGTTGTTCGACCACATCAGTTTTTCTATAATTGTTTTCAGACTGTTTGCAGCACACTAAAGATTGTGATACAATTTACAACAGTGAAAATATCATAATTAAATTGCAACTTCGATAAATATTGTGATATTAGGAGAAAATTTGCCATTTTATTATTATGATACTCAGCGCCCTTAAATATCACGTGGGTTATGTGTGGTATGAAGGTGGTAATATTGAAGAAGGTGACTTTGCAAGTTGCATTCATGTGACACCAAAATCAACCTTTTTTACTTGAAAAGGCATACAGCCTTTTGATATATTATATTGTAGTTTAGTCTTTATCAATAAAGTCAATTTTGGGCCACATAAGCTATTTACTTTACAAAGACATACATGCAATTATAGAAAGAGAGAGATAGAGGGAGGATATGAATTATGATGATGACTCACTGAAAGTTGCAGACCCCCGAAGAGTGGAGCCTTTGGCCACACTCCCACTCCCAGTAATAATCGTCGAGTATTTCCCATCGCCAATCAACATAATCCCATCCTTATTACTGTTGATCCTCTCGTTATACGTCCCGGATTTCACATATATCACAAACCGGGCCCCAAACGCAGCCCGTATAGCCTCCGTCACCGTAGTGTAGTCTCCGCTCCCATCCTTAGCCACCACAGCATTTGCTCTTATTTCCGTGGACTGGAGCAGTTTCCTATCGGGCCCAGACACCCAGCCCGGGAAGCTGTTAAGCCCGCGACCCTTGGGAAATAATTTTGCAGTTGGGTCTTTCGTGATCTGGTTTGTGAGGGCCAACGGGTTGCTGACGAGCTCCGAAAGATGGTCCATTTTCCTGTGAATCTCGGCTGCGTATGCATTTGATGCCACGTGGCCCTCGACTGAGTCCTTGCAGGCCTGCTGGAAAGTTATGGCGGCGCTCAGCCATGTCTGGATGTCCTCTTTGTGTTTTTCCGGTGATTTTGTTGTCTCTAGTGCTTGCACGGCCTGGTTCAGTCTTCTCACCGACATGCCCATGAGATCGTGGCAGTCGTCTGCATTTTTGCATGCCAAGTGTAAATGTATAGGATAATAATTATTGATTAGTAAAAAAAGTATTTATCATGAGATGGAAAAAAAGTAAAAAAAAAAATATTAATAGTTGCGAAAATAAAGTCATTAAAGTGGATGGAGATGGATTAGTAAATTTTATAAAGAAATGTGTAGTATGGTTGATTTTTATTATTTAAAAATATATTGAAAAATATGATTAAAATGAGAAAAAGGTGCAATAGATGTATAGCATATTTTGGTGAAAGTTTAAATTAGAAAAGGAAAAAACAATAGCAATCTATATATATATAATTACTAGCTCAAAACATTTAATAAAACCTATTTAATTTTACCTATGTGGCAATTTAACAATTTTCCCTCCAAAAACCGTTACATTTTGATGTATTTAATCTTTCATTTAATCATTAAATAATTATGACTCATCACTTCAAAATTACAAAAATTATTTTAAATTTTTTATTAATGACAGTTGACCATATAATGTGTTGACCGTATAATGTGATTAGATGTTATTATTGTTGTTACATTTAATTTTTTTTTAAATAAAAAATATATTTGAAATTCCTAAATAAATAATAAATAATTCACAAATAAAAGACGTATCAAAATATACATTACATCCAGTCAGATAAACGCAATTTAAAAAAAAATATTCCAACTCTTTTAATTGTAAATTTGATCTGCAAAAAAGTAAAAGAAAAATAATTAATCATTATATGCATACAGATTCACAATAATTTATTTATATCTGTGCAAATGCACAGGTCGAATACTAGTCTTATTAATTAGGTGAAATCTTATTAATGAACGGTTAATATTTTGAAGACAACTATAACACTTTTAGATGATTTGGCATTATAATTTATTTATTTTGTTCAAGATTAAAGATTAGGCTGAATCAAATGATAACCAAATTAAAGAAGGGTGAAGGAAACAAAATTTGGAGTCACTCACACATGCGAAAGAAATTACAAATTAGAAGATGGTAAAAAAAAGTTGCATGAGTATAAAATATTACCGATGGCCAACCGGGCTTGTTGTGCTTCAGGAGAGATAAAATGGGAGCTAAGCGCCTCGAAATTGGAATTGGGCAGCTTGGATTCGGACAGGGTTTTATTTATAAGGGCAGACAACATATGGACATTTGGAGCTAATCCTCCTTCTGTCAGGGTTTGAGAACACAAGGCTGGATACCTCGTGAGCCCACATCGTGATTTCACTTCCTCTACAAAATCAACTTTTCTTGCCCAGCTTATTGTGGCAAGTGTTGTTAGCACACAAAGCACAATGCTTTTAAGGATTGCCATTAGGCTCAAAGTATAGAAAGATAGCAATAAAACTGCTTAAAGGTATTGATGATGATGGTGTAAATGGTGCTTAGGGAGGTTAGGTTTATATAGAGAACTAGAGAAGAGTGTTGGCATGCACTTTAACTTTTTGTCTGGCTAAGTTAGTTTAGGTGTCAATTTTATTTTATTTTTGATTTATTATTTTTTTAATACTAAGATTCCATGCTAACACCTATTAGATTCATGTAACCAGTGACGTATCTAGGAATTTCAGTCAACGGGATCATTTTAATGCTAAATAACGAGCTTTTAATTTAAGTCAAAATGCTCATTTCATATAAAATTGTATTTATTATACATATAAATATCGATATGTGTATCATCGAGGTTTTATAAACATAAAATCCGTATCACGCTCAACTTCTAAATAAAAAAATATTCCATGTATTTATAATTTAAGTTTAGCGTCTATAATTTATGGAATAATAAATTTTTTTGGTTGAAAAACTGATTTAAATTGAAATTTTGTAGCACAGTGCATAAAATATTTGGTGATGAGAACTTGTCAAATGAACATTTTTTAAGAAAAAAATAAATAAAATTAAAACACAAAAAAAAAATCAACATTAAAAAACATAACAATCCAACTGAATATTTGATTTTATAAATCATAAAATCGATTTACAATTAAGAGAAGAAAAGAGTAAATCATTATAAATATTTTCACAAATTTATTTAGAAATGTAAAATAAAATGATTGTTAGTATATTTTTCAATAAATGAATAATATTATAAATTTAAATAAAAATAGCATAAAAATAATTTTTAATTATTAATATCTTATAAATATTTTTTGCATTTCTATACATATTTTATAGATTTTTGTGTGTGTGTATATATATATATATTACTTTTTGTTTTAAAAAAAAATCAGGGGGCCATGGGCCTCCATTCCTGCTTGTAGCTGGCCTTCAACTACTTGAAAAAAGTAAACCAAGAGATGTGCCCTATTGTCAATCGTACCGTCTCTTTTATATCCTAACGGCTCAGAACATCGAATGTGTCAATTTTATTGATATTGAATGTATACCAGAATGCCTCGTTTATATCCTTGTGGCTCAGAACATCTAAGGTGTCAATTTTATTGATATTGAATGTATATCAGAAGGTACGCACTTTCCATCTCATAGCTCATCATGTCCCTTACCCATTAGAAGCTCTATGACTTTTCTAAATCTCTTTTATTTATATATATATATATATTTGGATCTTAAGTTTTGAGTTCATAGTACAAATTTAACGTACATATTTATTCATGTTGCTGTTGACTATAAAATGTATGGAAAATTTAAATAGTCTATTATTTTGGCTACTTGGGCAAATTGCGTGTTGAATTAAACTATCATTAGTGTATGATTTAACATTTTAAGGGTTCAAAATATTTTTTAATTCATGAGGCAAATACCAAAAAAAGTAAACAATTCATAAATATTATACATATCCTTAACCACAGACTGATCAAGTCATAAGCTTGTAGTCATAAGCTTGGGGACTACACATAATCTCTTTTTTGTTAAACTTTATGTTTCCAAAATCTTTGAATTTTATTTTTAGTTGTGAAATTTTAAGGGAGATACAAAATTGCGCTTAAGTAGTAAATAATGAACATTCATTTAGTAGTGGAAGCAATTCATACAAAACATGAACTTTCAAGAGAGTATATCACATTCCTTTGGAACTCTTTTATTCAAATAAATATTTGGCCAATAGAACATCTTCCTAACCTACGTCATACACACTTATCTAATTATTCTTCCGGCCATTCTTCGTGGACTTAACCTCAACACAGATCTCTCTGTGCTCTTAAAAGATGCATGTCCCAAGCACATTGATGATTCGAACACATTTTCTAGTTTAAATAAGAGATCAGCCTCAAATTTGAATGCTCACACAAATAAATAAATAAATAAATAAATAAATAAATAAATAAAACTGAGTAGAGAATTCTCGTGTACAAGTTCGCTCGCGCTCATTCTCTACTCACTACAATCATCAACCTCTCCTCAATGCGACCCTTTTATTCTTACTGTATAAGGTAAGTTCGTCCTTCGGTTGCTTTACATAAATAGTCACCATTCATTCTGCGCCCAAATTCTTTTTCGATGCCCGACGAGCTACACGATCGAGATTCGGTTATCACGAGGCCAAGTTCGGCTGCACAACGGATTCTGCGTTTCGGACGATCTCCAACAACGGAAATCAGAAACGTCTCAGAGTCGACAAAATATTAAACTGTACACGTTGAACCCTCGCTTCTAGTTCCACTGTGTTATTATTATATACTGAAATTTTGGCTTTGGATGATATTACACTTTTACCCTTTATGAATGAGAATCATGTTTGATTAAACAAGTTTTATGTTCTGTTGTTTTGCACTTAGATAGAATGGCTCATCATCGGGTGAACAGAATATCATTCTATCAGTTACTTGCGAAACAAGAATTATGGTTCACAACCTAGATAGAAATGAACACCCCATCCGAACGGTTGTAGTGTCAACAGTACAGTTGGTCTTGATTTTGCACTAGTACATTTATGTATTGAACAGGATCCCAGATAGGAGAAGTTCATTTTATACTGATCGTCGTAAACGAACTAGGCCTCGGTTAATTACTGTATTCTCTTAAACCGTAAGAAATTAACCAGCCTTATATATGCAGTATATATTACTTTTATTCACTTGGGTGAGGTTCAGTTCGCTGGACTAATATTCTTACTGTCTTGGGTAATATTGTTGTACGTATGATGTGTTGTTAATTAGGATATTACGGTCACTATATGCATTAGTTTGATGATGTCCCCGAAGGGAGTTCATGAAAGATTGTTATGCAAAACCCTGCAGGTGGATTAAATTCTGGCATAATAATAATGTGATGAACGAGCAGTAGCTTTGGTAATAAAATATATTAATTAATTCTTGATTGTCAGTAATCGAATTAATTATTGGATATTATATCTTAATCATGGAGAGGTAATTCGGGTAATTATTATTGGAGTCTCAAATGTAATTTGGGCTAGGATAATTGAGTACAATAATATTATGTTAGTGGACCGTAATTGTAACAGCCCAGTCCACCTGCTGTAGAGTATTGTCCGTTTTGGGCCCGCTCACCCGCACGGTTTTGCCTTTGGGAGCTAGCTCACCAAACCGCGTCCTACAAGTTAAGGTATCCACACCCTCTTATAAGGCATGTTTCGTTCTTCTTAACAACCGATGTGGATATTATAATCCACCCCCCTTGGGGACCCAATGTCCTTGCTGGCACACCAGTCTGGGTTTTGGCTCTGATACCACACTGTAATGCCCCGTTTTATTTTAAAGAATTTACCGAGTTTATTTATAAATATCAGAGTTATTTTTTCGCAAAATCCCAATTAAAACTTTAATATTTAACGGGCACTACTTAACTACCGACAACAATTAAACAATTACGAATTTAATAAAAGACTTATACATGCATAACTATCAGTTCCAGAAATAAACCATTATTCATAAGTCATAAAAACCAACCAAATAATCAACATGATTCAACCGTTCAACCAACATGTTCATAAAAATTAAGCAGAAGCAGAATCATCCAAAATAAACACAAATGTTTCAACAAAGTAATAAGCAGAAATCAAGACATATTATTCCAAGTTAAATAAATGGTTCATCAAAATAACAATAGCGGAAGCAAAGGCGATTAATTCCAACGACCACCACTCGATCGTCTCTCGCTGCCGCCGCCAACCATGCTCAACCTAAAAGATAGGAAGAGGAAACAAGAGGACAGAAAAGTAAATGGGGGTGAGTACAACCATTATACTCACCATTACCGCACAGTCTATTTCGCATAAAGATCCATAATCATAAATAATGTATGCATAGAATCCAGATCCAACTCCCTATTAGGCCCTATCGCAAACCTCCTATGTACATACAACCAACCTTCCGACCAGACATCGGCAAGGATGTAACTGGAAACACTCCCACCCCGGATGCAACGGGCATAGGATCTTATCCAGGTGACAGTGAAGTTGAAATACCCCTCCGCTCTACACGGATTCGGGCGCCCACCACCCAGATGCAACGGGCAGGTGACTTCCACTGATTATGCATTCGTCAAAGGCACTACCGATGGGACACTTAGACTAGGGTTCTCACGCATACAGAAGCTATTACGACAAACATTTATATGAAATAAAAAATGCGATAACTGTAGATTCAACATAAATGAACCCACCTGGTAATAATCGAGATAGACACAAAAATAAGGGTAGACGGCGAGCTCGACTCGTCAAGTACCTACATTTAATAAAATAGCCTTATCAAAGACTATTCGACAATTACTTAGTCCAACTAAGTTCAGTAAGCATTTAAACATGCATTAATTCAAAGAAATCACATTTCCGAAAATATCACATAAATTTTTGAAAACTTAACCCGGGCAGCGTTTTTAAAACCGACATAACTCTCAACACACAACTCGTATGAACATGACCGAAAGCGAATAAGGACATTAACAGGTGATAGGTCAGCAAACATTAAAAAATTGGGTCACAGTCCAAAACTGGGAAAAGGAATTGACCGGACCTCAGTAATTGCTAGCTAACTGGAGGTACAGGCATGCTTTCAGTGAAATTCAAAAACCAAATGATAGACAACTCAAATTTCTACAACTTTGATGAAGATCATATTGGCAAATAATCACATTATCAACGGATTTAAACACAAAACATTTGATTTAGCAAACCTGTCAAAAACTAACATATGATATGGACAGCACCTCAGATTTTATCATTTAACTCGAGCTACAGACCTTCAAATGATTGGATTTCACCACGCCTCCTCTGGTGCACTTGTCAACTACCCAAGGCGTTCGAATGATCCCGAACATTCAGAATCTCTCGGTTGTCTAATCTCGATGAGGCATCCTGACGTCGGTCACCAGAAAGCTATGGTGTATAAACGCAAATCTCGTCTATCGACGAGATAGCTCGCACAAGGT